ACTTTTTTGTGCCGGTTTACTTTTCTGTATCCAAGAGATAACGTAATTGCGTACTTTATGAGCAGCGTGGCAGTGGCCTTGGGAAAGCTGGCAGTTTTTGCCAACGGTGTGATTTTCTGTCTCCTTTTCGAACCTAATGACACTCAACTAATGAAACTGATGCCTGACGAAGTGGAGTAATACCAGGAAGGTCGGAAATCCTTGATACCGCTGTCACTGTGTCCGCAATTACGACCTCTCTCACCGTGGGATACAGAATGTGGTCGCAGGGTTCTGCCCTAATTCCTTGTTGACTCGCTCTTTTTGAGTGGGTTGCCCTTTTTTCCTTTTGAGTGGCCTGCTAAAATAGTGGGAGGCGAAAAGCAATCTCCCAGCTCAAACTGCTTACCCTTTCCAGGGAGAATGAGGTGACAACCTTAGTGTGACGTGTGAGACATAAAAAATAAATAAGGAATGAGGAGAATTGAGGAAAATTGAGGCTTAGGCTAAAAGACGTCCAAGCTCTATTGCATTTCGATACTCCAAAGTGAATTCGAGGCAGTCTTGAGTCTCTCTGTTGGTGAAAAACGATAATTGTTTTCACTTGCCTCAGTATAGCCGTATCGGCACCCATTGTGACTTGGACGTTGACGTAGCCTCTCTCCATAAACACGGCCAAATATCTGCCCATATCTTGCCAATAGAATAGCAATCCAGCATGTTGATTTGGCTTGAAGTTGATTCGCAAATCCAGATAATCGACGATATCCGCTGGAGCTGTCACTGTGACATGGGAGTTACCCGAGAATTCAGCCACCTTCAGCACCGGTAGAGGTATTAGTTCATCCGGTGATGACGTCGTTTGCAAGGAATTCGCTGAAATTGAGTAAATTGATGTTCGAAGAGCTGACTTTTTGCAAGAAATTCCCACTGGGAGCAGTCTGAAGTCTGAAAGTCGAGGAACAAAGGGCAATGGCTCTAACGAAACGGCTTGTTTCCATTCTAGAAATGTAAACTATCAGTAACCCCCTAAGTTCTCTTCAAACTAATAAATCAGGGACCCTTCACTACTACACACGACTAGGCAATCCTTTGGGGCAAAAGTGCAACATCCTACAGTTATTTACACGCAGGGGTACAGCATAGTTGATGTCAGTGGCTGCCATGAACTTCACCTTCCCCAACACTTGCCCTTACCAATTCCCACATTCTCCATTTTTTCACCGGAAAATTTTGCGTCCGAGGGGGAAGAGGCCATATAGTACACATGAAACAGGAAAAATCACGAACAGTCATTTTTCCCAACGCGGCGAATTCCTCTGAAAGCCGGATACGACCTCCCCCCCACTCTCCCAACACACAACAACTACAACCACTTACCCCTCCCCAGCAGAGAGGTACGACCCTTTCTATGTGTTTTCACACAACGATGCATGTACCCTGCTTACACAATTATTTAGCCATATATTGAGCAAAACCCACCGAAATAAGCCTTGGAAGTAGCATGGGAGACGGTTGTTGGCTTGGTGGAGATGCTGGTCGTGGTGGCGGCATTGGTTGTTGTATCCACCATTGGAATGCCATTCACTTCAGCTAAAACTCGTTCATTCACGAGCCGTTCCAGGAACATTCCATAGTAGTCGTAAGGTAGAATTTGATGGCTAGGGGTGACCAGTGAAACGAAGACGGTGATCACCCGCCACATCTTACGACATTCGAGGGACGACGAGGGCTGCGGCGGCAGAAAATCTACGCCACGCCCCCGAAGCACCTTGTTGAACGGGGCAGAAGGAGCCCGCTAGAGTGCTAGTCTATTCAATATGCCCCCCATAAGGAACATTATTGAGCTAGCAAGAGCTTAGCTTACCGTACCATGTTTATAGAGACGTCCGGTTGATAAGTCAATCTCGCGAATTTTCGGTTGTGGAGCGGTTTGCCGTCTTGAGTAATTGGATTGCAGTACTCTGAAATTGAAAATATGTCAGCGGATTTTTTTTACGTTTTTGAAGGCATAATCCTAGTTCCGTTGGCTCCGCTGGCTGAGTAGCTAAGGAGGTCGACTGGTCGGAACAAGATTAGGGAAAATCGGAAAAGTAGCGCCAATGCAAAGAGTGGGGGAAAGAGGAAGCAGAGGAAACCTCGATTTGATTTGCTCGAAAATGCAATCTCACCTAAATCTTGCAGATTCACTGCTGTGTTCACTTCATTTTCTGTATCAAGAAGAACATCGTTGTTGATGACGACCTAAATGAATCACTTCAGAGGGGCAGAACAGCCGCTGGCAAAGCTGCTTGCAGAACTCTACCTTTCTAACACAGCCATGGAATCCGTTCATAGTACCGACTTTGCTTTCCAGAGCGTCGATTCGCGAAGGTGCTCCACCGACAAACACCCTTCATCAAGAAATTCCCTTGTAGAACTGAAACGAACCAGCATCTTTGCAAAAACGTTATCAAATACCTGGCAGGAGTGTAAACTACAAAAAGTTCAGCAGTTCTAGAGACTATTACACCCATGGGGTGTTACATAACCGTTTGAAGGGCAGGAAGCCCACTAGAGAACTCAATGGTCAGCAGGGCACGTCCTGCCCATGGCCAGAATACGACCTCCATTCCCCGTCCTATGTACCACCTATTTTTCTGCTTCCTGCCATTTCACTGGTCTTCTGCTGAAATCCTCCACTTTTTCGTTATACAACTGGCGAGTGGGTTTCAGTATGAACGGGAAGGGATGAAGGAATCCTTATATCTGCCTCAGACATACAACTTCGCTTTTATGGAGAAGCTACCTGCCAAAAAATAAGCATGGAGAGGTGAAAATAGTATATGCCAGTACATCAGCAGTTCGTGGGTGAAAACAGCTGACGGGACCGTGACCAACTGCTGCACGGTTCAACTATTTATGGGCTGCGGATTTTGCCAGGAGTACCGTGCGGCGCCTTCAACCTTCCTGAGAGGCATAAAATCCAACTTTCCTAAGAGTCTCCTCAAAAAAGGCGCGGTAAGCGCTTGTTCACGGGCATGATGCACCACCCCTCTAGGCGGAATTACTCTACACGCTTAGTCAGTTAATTTATCATGCCCACTGCCTTTGTGTTTGTTCCAGAACTACGTGTAGCGTAATTACTCGAACTCGGCTAGAGGGATTCAATCACTACAGCGTAGCAAAGGAAGAACAAAGTTCTTTCAAACGCTCCATCAATGTGCTTATTAGTTCGGCCCTGCTCGGCTAAAGAGCGCCTCCGATGTGCTTATTATCTCGGCCTTGCTCGGCTAAGGAGGGATGAGCATTTTGAACTTTCGCTAACTTCTTTTGTTATTTCTGTTGAAGTACACGTAACACCTTGGAAAACGTAAACGATTCCTTGCTACTCCATAGCTTCACGGAAATTTACAAGACTTTACAAGAGGCATCGACAGTGATCGATGGGAACCAGCACAATGCACCCAACAAGCCTAACTGCGCCAATCAGTCCTTTTTTCTGTCAAGAACGTGCTTCATTTGGAAGAAGGATTAGAGAGCTTCTGTCTCAATTTCCCTTTTGGGAATGCTGATTCCAATGCATATGATCTATCTTGGGAAAAAGAAATCACAAAGCAGGCCACGGGGGTATGGCCAAGTGCGAGGTAAAAGGGACTTGCACCTGCAAGTACCCCACTATCGCGCCAGTCCCTTGAAAGCGCCGAAATGAAGCTGGACTGTAGGTAGACCCCGATGCCTTTTCGGACCCCACCCATAACCACGCTATCTGCCGCATGACCAGGCATATGCCTGCCTATAGCCAAACGCTCTTCTTACTAGGAAGTGAGGTCCGCGTCCTCTCACTTTTGATTGCTTGGTACCTTTGGCTGCGTAATTCCGAAGATAGCCGACATGATCGCTGCGACTAACCTTGCTATAAACGGACCACTACGTTGTGAAACTGTGGGTGGAGTCCGAAACGGGAGTGACCACAACCTTCTAGGCTTTATTTCGCACATTTTCGAGTTGGGAAAGTGGCATATTTCTACACCTGCGGGTTCATATTCACCTCGCACATGACGAGCTTTCATGTTGCAGAGAGCGTTCGAAGTTTCTTTAGTCACGCGATTTCTGCAAAGTCGCAACAAGTAGTGACGATTCTGAGTAGTGCCACTCCCATAACTGAACGTCATAGTGCTCTGCAAGTTTGTGAAGTCCTTGCGATTCGATGAGAGAGAGGTATTTCTTACATTGGGCTCTGTTATTTCTCTGATAAGTGAGGTATTCGATATATGACACGCGCGTAGGAATTTCTGTAGAAGGCAATGCCTAGGCGCTAGCCGCGAACGCGATAATGAGTTATTTTTCCCTTCCAACGTAAAAAAAATGTTCCCATCAGTGCAGCTTTTTCAGGGGAATGTCGTTAGCCAGCTTTCTCACAAGCTCTTCGAACTCGAGGCGTCTCATCTGTAAGTTTGTACTTACAGCGATTTCCTTGAATGTGGGGAATCACTGATAAAGGTAAAAAACCTTGGCTGCGAGACTCCGGTGCCATGCTGCAAAAACGCTGACTCGATGGAAATGCAGAATCACAAATAACGCGCCAAAGGAGTCGAAGGATTTAGGATTATGTATCGGAACCCTGTGGGAGAGGTTTTCACGACAGTCTGGTGCAAGGAAGGTCTAAAAAATTCATACTTTCGCTTCAAATGCAGTTCCCGTGATCAAGTGGTTCGCGAAATGCCTAGGTGCATTTGGCATCGTTGTCCGCATTGGCAGAGACTATACCACTCTCGTCACTGGAAACGGCTAGATAGAGAAGCTAGAGGCGCGTGATTATTGCAACCATGATTACTTTCACTCTGCAAGACAACGGCTTACAAGCGGAATTGCGTGTGTACATAGCGTTGCTTGGAGGGTCGTAGGGTGATTTCTTGTGTGGTTTCTTGCCGGGAATCGGTTGCACGTCAAATCCTGCTGGTTGGGCTTTGCCGACGTCTGACCAGTACTGCCTCAAGCGCGCCCGTGTGATAAAAGGGTCTCTGTTCAGAATGTTTTGCCAAGGTTTTTTCTTTGTTTATTTTTCGGAGTTACTCATGGGTTCATGAGCACCTACTACCCGTGACACTTGATCACGAGAACTGTCTTTAACATACTTAACTAGCGGGAAAACACCTCTCCGACTGATGTCATACTCAACCAGTACACGCTCCATCATGCTTTATTTACATGGGGCCCCCGATTTTATGAATTATAAATGCATCTGTAGAAGGCTTGCAATGTGGCGAATGTCCCTTCGTGAATCAATGTCCACCTTGCCCCTCAAAGTTCTGGCAAGAGGGCCAAGAGGACGAATAATCGTAGGAAGCAGGTTCTGTCAACCAAAGATTGCAAGCTTCAGCGAAAGTTAGGGCCTGAAAACTTGGCCATTGTTTGATCACGCGATTACCCCACGAGTTATGAATTGCTTAGCCGACGCACTTCCTCACCACCCTGAAACGCTAGCGCAATTGGTTCGACAAGATAATTACTGGGAATGAAAAGTGGACGCTAAAATAGACTCCGGCCGTGTCCAGGGAGTCTGCAAAAAGGGGTTAGGGAGACGCCGAACAAAACCCCGCTGAACAATACCCCAAATCGCCAAAAGCAAGGGCAATGCGCATGTGGTGGGGCTTACGGTGAGGGAAACCGAGCTCTACTGTCCAAAAAAAAGTTGAGTTTTCTCATCTCGAAAACGCATTTCTAGAAGCCAAGTCCAACACGCCACTTTCAGCATGACATTACTAGATACGATTGCACAACTAAGAATTAATCAACTAGTGACTGCTACTTACTGAGTAATCTGGCCAACCATAGCTTTCTAAAAAGTCGCCTCCAGGTCAGTCTTTCGTTCACTGTACCTATCCTCGAACATCCTCCTCAATCTTGGGCAGCGAATTTTTTAAAAAAGGTTCACCGGTCACCAAAAGAGGGACTGGTTGGTTTCCTAGTCCTCTTCATCCGCTTTGCGACCGTTTCTTCACGGACAGTCGGTTCCCAAGTGTCCTGGGCAGCGCGGCGGCAGTTTGGTCGCACGAGGGGGCCGATTTTGCACTTGGAGGTATTAGGTTGTCCGGAAAGTTCTCAGCGTTTTGTGCACCTATTTTTTGTACATTCACTGCTGATTAAAAACTCATTCTGCCTTGCTTCTCAGTAGCACATCCTGTAGAGAATTTCTTGCGCTATCTGATGGTATAATTGCCGTTTCACCATTGCTTGATAAACCCCTTTTTTCAAGATTTTTTCAAGCATGTGAAAAGAGCACTTTGGACGATTTTTTTCTTCGACTATAAATTGGGGCAATCCGCAATCGAAACAGCTCAACAAATTAACCAGGTGTGGGGGCCCAATAGTGCTAGAGAAAGCACTGTGCGGCAATGGCTCAACAAATTTCGTTCTGGAGATTTCAGCCTTGAAGATGAACCTCATAGCGGTCGACCTAAAGCAATATCTGACGAGGATTTTAGGGGGATTTTGGAGGCTGACCCATCCCAAACAGTTCGAGAGATAGCAGAAGAGCTAGGCCTTGGCAAATCCACTGTTGCAGATGGTCTGGAACGCATTGGGAAGGTGAAAAAACTCGACAATTGGGTGCCCCACAATCGGAGTGACCGGCAGGAATCGGCACGTCTCGAGGTTCCTTCTGCATTGCTTTTGCGCAGCAGAAACGACCTGTTTTTGGACCGAATTGTCACCTGTGATGAAAAATGGGTCATGTATGATAACAGGAGACGTTCCGGACAGTGGTTGGATTTCGACGAACCACCGAGGTAATTTTCAAAGCCGAACCCTCACGAAAAAAAGATTCTGGTCACGGCTTGGTGGTCATCGGCTGGTGTGATCCACTATAACTTTTTATCACCAGGCAAAACCATCACAGCAGAACCCTACTGTGAAGAAATCGACGAATTGTACCGAAAATTTTGTCAGATGCAGCCAACACTTATCAAAAGAAAGGGTCCGATTCCTTTGCATGCGCCCCACACGTTTCACAAATCACTATCCATAAATTGAACGAATTGGGGGTGAAGTTCTACCTCAACCGCCATATTCTTCAGACCTTTCGCCAACCGACTATCACCTTTTCTAACATTTTCAGAACTCCCTTGCTGGAAAATACTTCATCAATCAGGACCAGGCAAAAAAGCCTTAGTGGATTTCGTGAATTTTCGACCACCCAGTTTTTTACTTTGATGGGATTTCTCGACTGCTGTCACATTGGCAAAAGTGTGCTGATTCGAATGGTGCCTATTTCGATTAAATCCGATGAGTATTAAAAAAGTTACGATCGTTTAAAGTGAAACACCCAAAACGCTGAGAACTTTCCGGACAACC